GGAGATTGTGAAAAGTTCAGTGCTATCGGTGTGGCCTCGTACCTCAGCTGGTAGAGCGTGCGCTGTACAAAAGCATAGACGGTGTCCATGCGTGGGTTCGAATCCCACTGAACTTTACATAATCTAATCAAATGGCTAGTTGATAGGGGCACAATCATCACAGCAATCCACATGAGTCGTAAACACATTACAATAAAACTTCAAAACGATCATCACAAAAAGTTACGGCAAAGTGCGATCCCCTTTTAACTACGGAAAATCCGACTCGCTCATTGTGTTGTGTTTTCTTCACATGCCAGTAAACACGATACCCCAGTTTCCTAAACGCCGTTGAGAGGATGAGAACACACTAACAGCAGGCACAAACGAACCACATCACGTCAGTCAGTGTCCTTTTTTGAGCGACATCTGTTGTTTGATGTCTAGTCAGTGCTAGGATGAGTGAATATGTTGTACAGCAGTGAGGCTGATGGGTCAAACCGGAATAAAGCAAAAACAAAAAAATCAAGTTGTGGACTAATCAGACGTTTTTAGGCGCGTGACTCAAACCAGTGCTTCCGGAATCCTCAGTATGGTCGGAAGTGGGTGTATAGGGTTGCGGCTGGTCATCCTTCCCGTGCACTTCGCCAAATGCTAACATACGACCAAGCGCATCAAATTACTTTTGCCGAAAGAGCCCTACTCACTGCCTTCTCGTGGTGTTTTCTCACCAGAGTGAGAGGACGAAAAACCTACATCTGGGGAAATAACCGGGTTGGTGGACCACTGGTAGTTAACCTAGGAGAGTTGACCGAAAACCCTGATTCCAAACCAACCAACCACGAAGAGGCGTGCGAACCACACACACAACTTCCTGGTTGTGGCAGTAGTCACCGGCTCAATTGGGCACCTTCGACATTTTACCCCGTCCAAAGGGTGTATGATCCGATGAGCTGGACACCGGTTTGCTATTTTCACTTACCGCCCCGTTGCATTGCGGGTCAGGCTTTGACTAGCCTGAAGGCTTCGGTTGTTAATTGCCCGACAACCTGACAGTACCGCGTCCACGAGCAAGTCATGGACTTAGTTCCTTTTTATTAAAGATCATTGTACTTTGATTTGTTTGGCCCACGGTTTGGATTTAGACGTGTGTGAAATACAGACATTTCGGCAGGTGATGGATAATGTCATCGGATCGTGAGCACTGAAATGGACTAGACGTGAACGAAACGTACGCAGGTCAGTCCCACGAAGGGAATGCAGACAGCGCGCGGCCAAAAGCAGGCTCCACTGATCTGATTCGCCACAACAACAAATGCCATAATTGGTAGGGTATAGAAACCACGAGTGTTTTCAGTCATTCAATTGCCACTAATCAGTGATTTTCGCTTACTGACTGAAACCAGTGGAACGGAATAAAAACTCAAACGGGTTCAGAATCCACCCTCCCCCGTACTTCGGATTTGAGACTTCAATTCCACTCACTTTCTTCTACCATGATCACCTGGATCGATGAGACGATAATTTCATATTTGTCGTACGCTCCTTCTTTCAGTTCGTCGAAAGTGGCTCTCAAACTTTTGCGCACGTGTTGCAACGCACTGCTTTCGGTGGACGATTCGCTCTTGTCGTGCACTTTTGATCCTTCGATCGATGTTGTGTCTGCGGTGGTTGGCGGTTTGTTTGGCATAGAGTTTACAGTCAGGCTACCCAAATCGACTAACAACAGCCGGCAATTGCTACAAAGGACAAATAGGACGAAAATTTAATTAGGATAATACATAGGACTCGGATAAATCAAAACAGCATTATCCTGTGGTTTGTGTTGCTCAATTCAAGTAGAGAAAGAGAAAATGAGCAATCCAAGTAATACGACAAGATCAAATCATTTAAACTTTTCATTTTATAGCTTTGTTTTAAAAGCACTTCACCACATTAGTAATGTACCGTGAAAGTTTGCATTCACGCAACAAATGTGCATGGAGCAAATAACGTAGGCGGTTATCGATTTCCCTACCCCCTACCTTTAGAAATCCCATTACATACGAGATCATTTCGACAGATTATCAACGACTCATTAGTGAAATTCCCTAACTCGAAAACACGAGTTTTATGGGAACTCCTCTGTTTCAGTATATGCCGTGTGTCGAAAGCAAATCGCATCACCCACTTCACTGTGTTATTGTGGTAATTTCGTAAACTAATGCTACTTAATGAATACATCACTTTAAAAATGACTAGGAGAACAAGCCAGCAGGAATGGGCAATCGGATGTCTAGATGAGCCAATATACCTTTTGTTGCCATCCCATGTGATTATGGAAACAGCTCTATCCTCGTGCGAGGATAGCGGTATCGATTTACTCCCAGGTGGCAGATCTGATCTGGAGTATGCAGACGAAATTGTACTGCTAAGTGAATAAAGATCCAGGTAAGTTGCAAGCTTTTCTGAATAGCTTGATTGCTAGTGTACTCATGTACGGTATGCGTTTTGCACATTCAAAGTGTAAAATGCTGCAACAAGACCAGGTTGGTCCAGCATCCAGTCTCACCCTGATTGGGGAAGTAGTAGAGGAAGTAGACAAACTTTACCATCTAGTGGACGCATCACAGATGGAATGTCGACGCGCTTACAAAATGCTGGGTTGGCATTTGCCAACTTGAGACATCTACGGCGCTGTTGCAGCAGTTCTGTTATATCGGATAAAGATAAACCGTCGGTGTTTGAACAACGTTGTAGACATAGTACGAGTCTGGTGGGGTAACCGGACGAGCAATGCTGAGGTTAGGCGTAGAGTTTTAGGTAATCGCGGTCGTCCACTGCAGCAAGTGGTCGACCTCCATAGATTACGCCGGTTGGGGCATGTGTAACGCATCCAACCAAATACGCTGCCTCGGCGAGTGATGTTTGCCGGGGCAGGTAGCGGTTGGAAAAAGATCTACGAAGGTCAAACGAAGACCTGGCATGGCCCTGGTCCTAACCAGGAGACCAAGTCACATAGGTCCCGTTAGGCTCCCTGGCTGGGGACCCCGAGATCATGATCACAGATGGTTAGAGACACTGAGCGATATGAATGGGGGTCGCAAACAGTGGCGCTCATGCATCTACTCATTATTCTTGTAACTTCAGTCTATGAAAATGTGCTACCTTCCGCTTAAATCTGCTCTCAACAATCTAATCATCATTCTGCTATTTTATCCAAATGGGCAACCAAAACCGGAGCACGAATGTGCATGGTTAACGATTGTAAGAACAGAACACTTGCCCAAAGACTGCAAAGAATAATCACAAGTGATCAGGACAGAGTGAGTGAGTGATGAGGATACCAAACGAG